GGGCGCCGTTTGTGGGGGTGAAAAGCGGCACGGACTCCGGCAGACACGGCAACCAAAGACCTTTATTGCTTTTTGTTAGCATCTTTTATAGCAAGCAGAAGTGTACACGCACTACCTGCAGCTTGCAGATAGGTTACAGCCTTGTGTTCACTATGCTCTATGCTCTAGCAGATTGGCCCGTTCTTTCTGATCATGCGTTCATGGTCTTTATCTTGTTTTTCTCCTTCCAGCTGCACATTCCTTTCTCTGTTATTTTGTGCTTATGTGCCTTGTCATGCCAGGTGGTACAGTGTTTGCTCATTAAAATCAAACTCAGGAATGTCTGTTAGTGAGATTCCCATCCCCACACCACGCCTCACCCAATCAGTCTCCTCTGTCCCGAGATCTCCCAATAGAGAAAAGTCTTTCCTGCCTAACTTATTTTTCAAAAAACATCTTCTTGGCCTTGCCTGCCTCCTTAACTCAAAGATTCCCCCTCAATTGCCCCAAGCACTTCTAACACCTAATTGTTTCCCACTGCCACCATGCCAGCATGGTTCCTAACTCCACATGCATCCTCAGTTTCCTCTTACTCTGTTGTTGGTGACTTCTCCAAATTTTCCAAAGATAATTTCTGAAACCTTGACATGTCTTCTACATAGTACTGTAGGAAACAACACAGTGACTCACTGTCTTATTGCACTGTAAAACTTTGAATGTCTGTCTTTAAGAATATGTAGAGTGTCTCCTGAGGTATTCAAAATATAACAGCTGGTGTGATTGACTGTCTTAAGAAACAATAGTTGTTTTGATTGCATTTAGAAATGTCATAAGATGCCAGAGTACATTGTCCTAGAATGTACATTTGTGTGTTTTACTTATGTTCACAATGGTAGAAACAATAATCAAAATGCAAAACGAGAGCACAAATAATTTGATAGATTGTTTTACAAGTGTTTTATGGTAACTAATGGAAATCTGTGCTATTTAATGAGCTGCTTTCTTTTTCTGTTTTTTCCTTTGATCTTTACAGCTGTCTCCAAAAGAATATTTTCGAGTAGAGAAAGCAATATGCAACAGTGCTAAGATCCTGATGACAATACACCAAGAACAAGAATGGAATTAAATTTATTCAGCAATTCTACTGTTGTAAACAGTTCATCCATCAAACATAAGCAGTTAGAAGGGTATAGCCTCTGGGAAGTCATTACTATTGCCACTGTAACTGCAATTGTAAGCTTAATAACCATAGTGGGAAATATTCTTGTAATGATATCCTTCAAGGTTAATAGTCAGCTCAAAACCGTCAACAATTATTACTTGCTCAGCCTTGCCTGTGCAGATCTCATCATTGGAATATTTTCTATGAACCTTTATACGTCCTATATACTCATAGGCCATTGGTCTCTTGGAAGCCTTGCCTGTGACCTGTGGCTAGCACTGGACTATGTAGCTAGCAATGCCTCAGTAATGAACCTCCTAGTCATCAGTTTTGACAGATATTTTTCCATCACAAGGCCTTTAACTTACAGGGCCAAACGCACGCCCAAAAGAGCTGGCATCATGATTGGTCTGGCTTGGCTAATTTCCTTCGTGTTGTGGGCGCCTGTAATCTTGTGCTGGCAGTATTTTGTGGGTGAACGAAC